TATTGTTGTGTTGACTGTATAGTAAATGAGGCAGCTACCTCAGTACACGCCAGAGCTTAAAATAAATAAATAAATAAAAAACTCTGCCCTTGGATTCTTAAAGAAGCTATGATTTGAAATATTATATATATATATGTCTATATATATATATATATATATATAAAAAATTTTATTTAAAAGACAAATGATAAAATATCGGTATCAGCGATACCAGCCCGAATTTTACTCGGTATCGGATCGGAAAGGAAATTGGTGGTATCGAACATCACTAGTTTTTAATATAAAACTAATAAAAGAAAAGAAAATGTAACTGTATGTAGATTAAACAATTTTATTATCTCGTTTGACAGGACGGGGCTGCGATGACAGGTGACTGGTGTTTTTGGTGTTTGCTGCCGTTGTTTCATCACGTGACACACCCTCAGCAAATCACACTATTTAGTTGGTGACCCTCCCACCCCACACACGCACTCCTCACTTTTTATAGTGTGTTCCTTTTCCCTCCACTGAGGAGTGTATGTGACGGAGACAGCTCTGTTCTGGATTAATGGTTTACTGGTTACTGATATAAGGAGTACATTTGATCTTTATCTTTATCTTTATTATAAGTTGAATTTCATACCTTATTTGAAACTGTCACCTCCGATGAGACAAGGTGTAATGTGACAAATCTCCGGAGACTGACGAGACTCTGGACTCCAATGTCCATCAGCTCAGCTCTCTAACTTGGGTCTGTGTCTCTGTGTGTGTGTCCCTCTGCCCACCCCTCACACCTGACTCCCCGGAGAAACTCTGGGTCAAAGGTCAGTGACTGAGAGGAGGTTCCAGGGTCAAGTCAAAGGGTCAAGTTTAACAACCCGACTTGGGTGTGAAGTTCAACTTAAAAAGTGGGTCAAAGGTCAAGTTGATGTTGACCAAGTGAAAAGGAGCCGTCGTTTCTGCTCCCTCACACCAAAATCGAATTGAACTCTTTCTGAACCCACGCTGCAAGCTGGGTTTTTACCTCCATTAGGGGGGGCACCGCATTGTCTAACCAGTGACCTCTGACCTTTAGAAGCACATTTTAATACAATCTTACATTCCTTCCTATCCATTTGACAACAAACAAAGTGTTCTGGTGAAAACGACTTTGTTTGTTTGAAAAGCGAGGAACCTGAATCTGTGACCACAGAGGTCGAAGGTTTTGAGTTGGGGGATGGCCCTCCAAGAGAGCAAAGGTCAGGATAAAAGAAGCAGCAGTCAGAGAGCAGTAAGTCAATTGTGACACCACGGAATGAACAGCAACAACGCACGTGCATCGACACTCACAACATGCCTAATACTGTTCTCTGTGTTTGAGTACTTGCGCGTAAAAAACTTCCGTCTCTGAGTCTTTTTGTGTCTCGTCTCTGCACCAAACCTCCAAGAGAAAACCATTGATTTTGTCTCTGAGAGACTCAGCGAGCGTTGAGCCGCTTTTGCCTCCATCAAAAGTTATAACGTGTGGTTTTGTGACGTCACTGTTCGAAATCCTTTGTCCAGATTTACCTCAGTGACATAAAGTGGCCACAAGGGGCAGTGATGGAACGGTATAGCTCCCATATCTCGCCAGACTGAAATCACTTTTGTGAGTTGCCATTTAACAGTGACGCTACGTGACTAATTAAGTCAAGGCGTTGGACCTATAAACTTTAACAGTTAATTGACTTGTGACAAAGACCTGAGGCTGAGTCTCATTCTTCTTCATGTACATGAAGTTCCATGAGTTTCACTCAAAAGTGACAGGAAACCTTCCTCAGGGCGTCAGTTTGTAAGAACAGCTCGTTGTTTCACCATGCTGTCTTTTACAACTTTAGTTGACTTAAATCAAAATGTTCCATTTCAATAATCCCAGAGTAACTCCTCCTGTGGTTTGGAACGTCAGCGGCAGAAGATGGCAGGTTGAGAAGAGTGGGTTTAAATCCCTGATCTCCGCCCTGACTCCACATTGACTGCATTTACTGCACTACAGCATCTTTAAAAAATAGTTTTCAGGCTGTGGTTTTATGGAGGAGTCAAATCTGATGGTTATTATAGCAGCAAACGGTTTAAGGAATATTACAGACAAAACACAGAAAAAAAACCATAATTTCT